TAATTGACATTCATAAAAAAAAACTAATAAAATGGGAAACTGAAAATGTCCCTAAACAGTTCAAAACATATTAAAATATTTTGAAAATGTTAACATGTATAGAAAATGGAAATATAAGAAACCAGTGAAAATTACATGTATATTGTATATATGTTCATTTGTTTTAGAGTAACAACAAAAACCAACATACATTTTGTGGAAAACCGATTTTGCGTAAATATTCCCGTTTTTCCTTAATTTTAATGTTGTTTTTCGTGGCGCTTGTGAAAACTATTTTGAATTTTAAAATTTGACCTCCCTATTGCACTAACTAGATTCACTTTCCCATCAAACAAGATACTGTTGAAGAAAATCGAACAGTTTTACTGCCCCAAACCTTGATTACAGACACAAAAATAAAAAAAAAACAAACATCATTGTAAAATGAATACATTCATCGTTCCCCTCAGAATCTAAAATGTGATTTATGTAAAATTTAGGCAAAATTTAGTGTTATAATCCATTTAGTAGGTACCTATAGCGCTCAAACAAATTTTTCAATTTTTATTTTTGGAAACCTAGCTAAATCAACGTTTTAGAATGATGGTGCAAAAATAACTCTGACACCCACCCATGGTGGTTTTACATATCAAGTCGAGGGATGTTTTTGATTATAATTGTCCGAGCGAGCGCAGCCGGGAACTCCGGGTATATATGAAAATACCAAAAATTTCAATTAGCTATAACTTTAAAATAAGTCTGACCACCAAATTCAGACTTTCCTAGCATTTTCAATGATACAACTCAAACTAAATTTTCAATGAAAAACTAATGATTTCCGGAAATTCATTTTTGCAATATCGTTCTTAATTCGTTATACCTAACTTGTAATATATCGCGTAATATTTCTTTTTAGGCATAGATGACGTTACCACTTGAGGCAAAAAGATTGTTTCTATTTGCCGTTTTTCGTGATAATTCACTTTGATTGGGAACAAGAAATTAATGTTAAAATTCATAGATGCGCTAGCCTAATCTGCCCTTATTAATGTTTAGGTTTTAGAACTAAAATGTACTTTTGAATTTAAATAGGTATACTAAGAAATTGCGTTCGACAACATTTTTACAAAAATGAAATAGTAAGTATGATGTCACATGTAAGCCACTGTTATATTCGAATAAATGGAATGGATAGACAAAGAAATATTATTATGTCGTTCTTCGGCTGGTACCGAATTGGTTCCCGAGCTCCAACCCCACATGCCGAATTGGTTCCCGTTTGGAAAAGGTGTTTTTTTGGGGTGTACCGAATTGGTTCCCGTTTGAAAAAGGTATTTTGTTGGGTTGGGCCAAATTGGTTCCCGTTTAATTACGCACATTTTCCTTCTCAATTTTACAGGCTTAGGACTGTCAACTTATAAGTAGGCTTGGTTAAAAATGTGCGTCAATGTGTGTTATAAAAAAAATGATATAATATATACAATTTTCAATCGTTGATTCGGAAGTCAATTATCACTAGGTGTAGGTAAAAAATACAAATAATAAAATATAATAAATACAAATGTTTAAAAACGCTGATTTGCAAATTTGAAGCAAACTTTCTTTAAATATTCAATTCGCGTAAGCTTCCCATTGGTGTACTCAGTCATACAATTTTCCAAGAATTTGTTATTTTTTTCTTGTTTGCTAGTAAGTTTTCTAGTATTATTACTTCGAAATTTAATATAATTTAATGTCTGAATACTGTTTAAAGTCTCCATAAAATAAAATATATTAGGATGGGCACTTGTAAATTCTTTATTCAGCTTTGAATGGAACGATTCGCAACAATTTGTAGTTCTATCAATATTTTTGTCAAATCTAGCCCAAATTTTCGGTGGAAAGATACTATCTGTCATTATGTATGTATCATGAACGTAGTCAAAGAACTGATCCAATTTTGGGCAGCAAGGTTTATGGCCATCAAATCATTATAAAAACAGTCTTCGACGTCTTCGGGTGATAATAAGGGCAGTCCAAAAAAGAGTTTCAGAAGTTGTCCGATTTCTGAAGCATTATCTTTAAATTCATTAGAGAGACCAAACTGTTGAATTTTTCTCCGCCATGACTGACATAAATGGAATCTGCAACCTCTAACTGTAACTTGATGTAGCTGTGAAGTTATAGCATTATGGATTGCTGTTTCAAAATCAACGAAAACCGTGCAGGCTGTTAGATATTTTGCAACCTTATTGAATGCAAGTATGTAAGTGTCAGTAGTCTTGTTCGGGAGTAGGCTGAATACGACAGGAACATAGCTATTCTGTACTTTGATAAAAATAGAAAATAATTAGTAAAATTGCTTAGGACAACTTTTGAATGTTCCATCGACAAATAACGTAGTGGCTTTCTTGAGTTGTTCCAAGTTCTGCGTGCATGTAAATGTAATTATATTGTTGACAGAATCGTTGTCATAAATACATTTTTCTCCGAGATTAGTTATTAACGAATATTCACTGACACTTTTATGCAGTTCTTCAAGATTAGAAGGTAACTTGGGAATTGTTCTTAATTTAGCAGCATTCAAATTTTTACGGACTCTGTTAGTATCATTTTGAAGTAGTGACTCACTATGACTGTTTGAAGCTATCTCTTTGCGTATAATTTTAGATGGTCGCTCTGTAATAAGTTCGTCACATTTTCTTTTTAGTGAATTTGTCAATTGTTGTCGCGCAAGTGTACCATCGTCTTCACTTTCGTGGTTATGTGTTAATACCTCTTCACATAAACAATCTCCGTTCAATTTAACGTATGCTTTACATTTTCGTTTTGTACATATCCACCTCTGTATGTTATCTGCTAGGTTCTTTTGGAATCCAAACTTGTAATTGTCAATAATCAACAACTTAGTTCCCTTTTCACTAAACATAAACTCCATAATTACGAAAAATTAAAATTAAAAAATATAAATTCAAATACGAAATGTAAATTAAAAATTTACACGATGTGTTATTCGAGGCTGTACACTGTGTACAGTGCTCACTGCTCACCAACATTATTGTCATTCGTACATACGATATAGACGATGTACCATTCACCGATAAAAGTACATATATCTCAATCGTTATCTTAATTGATCGGGAAATCACCGATAATTTGCTAAACTTCCAATATATAAATATATAGCCATCTTATTGTATATTATACTATATATTATAGAGTAAAGCCATGTAGGTACATTTATATTTTATACTGTCTAATTTATATTTTGTACCAATTATTAAAAATTAAAAATTACCTGTACACAAACGGGAACCAATTCGGCTCAACCTAATAAAATACCTTTTTTGAACGGGAACCAATTCGGCTCAACTTAATGAAATACCTTTTTCAGACGGGAACCAATTCGGCCAAACGGGAACCAATTCGGTTACTCCCCGTTCTTCAATGACTATGTAATGATTTTACAGCTTACAACGTCTTCTTGGCTCTTTCCAACTTAACCACACCTCGCTGTCTACAGATCAAGACCAATAAATGTTTCAATTCGAAAGAGATTATAACTAGGTACATAATATTTGCTGTATAGAATTACACGGTCTACATTTTATACTGGCAACTATAGTTGCCTATAAACAAAATGAAGACTTTTTTTGCATTTTAAACCGATGAAACGACACTAGACCTAGAATTTAATATACACACTGAACCACGTATAGTTTAATAGTATTACACATTAATAGAGAAGTGTTTATCGGCTGTCAAGTCGTTGCAAGTATGTGAGGTGCACAAACAACAATGAACTCCATTGCACCTGAACTGCCTATCCAAACCGCCGTGTTATTTTAATTTTGTATTTAATTTTTTTTAAATATATTAAAACTATATTATTATAGAATTATGATTTATGATTTACCGGAAAGATGATCCCAATGGAAAAAATTGTTGAAATATACAATTAATATTAGTATTCAAACCATGTAAACTGCACACGTGCGTGTACAATGTCGTTTTCTAATAGATGCTTATGCAGTTACATTATAGCTGTGCAACACCTTTATTATCGCTTTCTATATTATATACAAATACGGGATGGCCTCGATTGTTCATATAAATAGGGCTTTTGATGTATGTCATAATCATCACTTGCACAGACGCTGTCTTACCGAGTGTACGCGGTGTGTGTGTACAATCACAGTTTCATTGTCCAGTTGTACGTTATAATATATTAAACTTATACATAATCATATTGTCGTGTTATTACTTTTTATATTAAGGCTAAAATCTTAAATCATTAGTCCGTCAAGCTTCACTTTCAACAAAAATAAATAACAGTAACATCTTATCCTTGATGCGTGTGCTAAGTGATCTTGTTATTTTAGAAAACAAAAAAAAAATTTAGAAAAAATTATAGTTTTAAGTAAGGACACAAAAAAAGTAAAAAAATTAAGATGGCACCTGCTTGTCAATGCTTAAATAATCTATATAGAAAAATAGAATAGATAAAATTCCTAAAAAAAACATTTAAGTTGTGTGTTGGATCCTGTATGCAGGCGCATTTTAGATAACAAAAAAAAAAAATTTTAAAAAAATTATACAATAGTAACACTCGTCCTAGTGGATACTTATGGAACTAGAACACATCATACAAATTTCTAGTTCCATAAGTATCCACTAAAACGGCGCTAGTAATGCTAAAAGGAAAATATCCCCCCGAACTCCGCCTGTTGTAAAACATTTCGTAACCACAATATTCATCTCGTGTCCAGTCCTGTATATCTTGTCCGTGCTCTATAGCAATCACGATTTAAGATATATAGGTATATCTTAAATCGTGATAGCAATGCTCTCTTAACTCATGTAATCAATCGTGTTCTACGTAAAAGTAATTTAGCTTCTGTTAAAACGACACACTGTCGTGCTGACATTGATAAGGAGCTTTTCAACAGTTTGTTTATGTTTGTGAATACTGAATGTCTATACAGTGAATAGCACATGTTCTTTCTTTTTTCATATTTTGTTTAAAATTATTAAAATTTAAAATGAAAGTGAAAACTGTTCCATCAAAAAAAATGCCTTCAAAAAAACCTTTGGTGGGCGCTATACAAAAGAAAAAGTTTTCGAAACCTACTGGCGGTGTTTTGAAAAACATAGTAAAAATTTCTGATGCGTTTGAAGAGCTGAAGTCTGGCAACGATCTTACAGGAATATCTTGTTCAAAAGAGCCTAAACAAGTAAAAAAAAGTGCAGCTAAGGATAAAGTAAAAGCTGACGTGAAAGTACCTAAAAATACTGTGGACATTAGGAAAAAAGGAGACAAGAAGACTGTTGTGGAGAATAAACAGAAAAAACCTAAGAAAGGTATAGCTGAAGGTGCATCAAAACTGTCAATGAAATCAAAGCTACTGGAATCCAAACTGACGACTGAAGTGAATACTAACGAGAGTGATCCTAAACTTGATATAAAAAAAGTATATTAATATCATTTTTAATTTTTAATAATATTAAATTGCATAATATAATATCTAATTTACAGGTTGAAGCCGCTGTCAATGGACTTTTTACGTTAATAAAAAATGGTTCAACTTTACCCAAAAATGAATTATGGGACGAGGCTACGCCAATACATTTGGTAGTTACTGCAGTTAAAATGGGAGTTGGTCCAAAACGAGTAGTTCGAATGTATGTTTAAAAGCATAATTAAAGAGATAGAAATGATCACATCGGTACGTGTTCTCATCCATTCTAGCTCACTATGCCTACTTTAGTTCTCGTTATATCTTTGGTCTAATAATTTTAGCGCCAAAATGTTATAATATGAAAATATCACATGATACTGTGTTGATACCATCACTTAAGTAGTTAAATCATAAACTCAAAACTATAAAAAGTCATAAGATTATAAGAAAATATAATTCAAAAATAATAATTTTAAATTTATTAAAGTTAATTTTTAAAATATAATCTTTTGTTGATAATTTTAATAACCAATAAAAAGCCGAGAACTGAGTAATGGACCCGGTCTGAAGGGGAATCTGCGTATCAGTAAAAATGTGATCATATCTATCTATTTAGTCATGTTTAAAAGTATTTTATTTTTGCATCCCAAAATGTATTTCCAATGACTAATAATATTGTATTTTGTAGAGCATTACCAAATTCACTGATTACTGATACAACAGATATATGCCTCATAGTACCAGATCTTGTGCGTGGTCGAAATGTGGACCATGAGAAAACATATCATCATTATAAGGATTTATTGGCAAAAAATGGTATTAAAAATATAAAAACTGTAAGTTAATTTAATGTCTGCTATCAGTAAATATGTAACCTACATGAAGTTAAATTTAATTAGTTATGGTATCTAATATTGGTATCAGCCTGGCACACCAAAGGCCCATTGATCAGTTTTTTTAAGTGGTCCCATAATGAGGTTCTAGAAAAAAAAAAGCCCCTTTCCAGCTACAATTGTTTTTCATTAATTGTCAAATTATTATGCATCTAATTTATTATACTACATTTATTTTATTAAAAAGTAACTATAAACAAAATTACATTTAGTATATGACATTAAACAATAACTAATTATATCACAGTTAAAAATTCATAAAACATAAACCATAAATCAAAATATATATAATAAATAGTTCAATAACATTTCTTAACATATATTTCTCTTATTATACATATTTGGTGTATTATTCTATTAAATATTATTATGATATAAAAGTATATAAAAATGATTAAACAAATATTATTATATAGAAACCTATGTCAAAAAAAGTTTTACATATTTATATTGAAATATAGGTATATTGTTTAAACATTTAAAACTATAAAATGTACACACTAGAAAAAAAGTGTTATGTATTTAGTTGGCACAGGGCTTTTTTCCCCTAATACACATAATTAATGGCCTTGGACCCTGTAAAGATAAATTGTGCCTAAAAATTAACGTACCATTTAATACTTTGTGGAGTCACTACTTCCTATATTGGAGCAGAATAAAATATTTACGAAACCCTAAAAAAAAAACCTAAGTTCTCAGCGGTCATGGCCAGGTTGACACTATATAATATACATTTATTTAATGTTATAATTATGATGTTAGGTATAGATAACACAATACAAATTTATAAGACCATTAAAACTTTAATAATTAAATTTTTTTTAAGATTTTGCCAGCAAGACAAATTCGAGTGGAGTTTAATGAATATGAGGCTAGAAGAAATTTGTGTAATTCACATGACATATTTTTAATTGATCAGAAGATAAGCGGATTTTTGGTTAAGAAATTGGGAAAAGAATTTTATATTAAAAGAAAGTAAGTTGTTAATAGATTTTGTGACGTGTCCTTTAAAATTAAGCAAAATCTATTATTAAGAGGCAATTAAAATTTTTTTCAGGCTTCCAATTACTGTTAAATTAGCAAAAAAGCACTTAAAAGCTGAAATAGAATCAAAGTTACACAAGACATCTTTTTTCCTTGATTACAAAGGAACTACAAAAGCTGTTCAAGTATGTTTTTAATCAAGTTCACCTTGTTTGATTTTTTGTTTTTTTTTTTAATTGTAACTTCAGCATTATATAAAATATTTTGTCATATTAAATGAATGTTGGTTCTCACAAATATTTGATGTTAATAAGTATAATAATGAGACGTTGTAATATTATTCTAGGTAGGTCATATGCAACAAACAGCTCAGCAAGTTGCGGAAAACATCATAGCTGCCTTTAATAATTTAGCACATAGTTATCCAGGTGGCCTAAAAAATATCAGGTGTCTATTGATTAAGACTCCAACATCTGAATCATTGCCTGTATATTATTCATTGAGTAAGTATCTATTTGAGGGACAAAAAAATGTATTTTCATTAAAAAATTTTAATTTAGTATCCAGGAATGAAGTTCAAGGTCCATATACTAAATCCAAATTGTATTCAAAGGATAAAGAAGTTGAAGGTGAATTGTTTGGAAAACGTGTATTAGTAAAACCAAATGGAGATGTCACAGTGTTGTCGGTGAGCTCATGAACCTAAATTAATATATTTGTGCAGGGTTAATTTTGGTTAATTTTTTTAGGGATCTGAAGAAGAATCAGATTTTGATGATGACAATGATGATGATGTATTTAATAAAAAAAATAAACAAAATGATAGTGACGAATCTGCTATTGAGGAAGATAATGAAGAAGATGAAGTTAGTTGTTGTAATGATACTTTAATAATGAGAATAGGGATTTGTAATTTGTTTGCACTAAATTAACTTTAATATGCAAAATATATGCATTAAAAATATAAAATATGCACTAAAAAGTAAATAAAAAGCAGTTACTTTTGTCATAATTTGAATTTTGAAGCATTTTTAAAGAAAATTCTATAGCCATTTATGTTTCAGTTTTGATTAACCCCTAAGTTGTATGGTCTGGTCCCATAGACTGCTACAGTTTTTTGTTTTAGTTTACTTCCTAAAATGTCTAAAAAATTAATTAATTTCTTTAAACTTATTAAATTTGAGTCGAAAAGTGATAGTCAAATAAAATTGTCAATATTATTTCTACAAATAATGCGACGGAACAATTAAAAAATTTGGTCTTATTATTATAACTAACAAAACTAAGTGGTCTTCAAACAGTGGGTCACGATACGTCTTTTTAAAATAAAAAATAAGTTTAATACATGAAATAAATAAAAATACAGTTTATTTAATCTATATTCCATAATATAATGGATATCAAATAACAGTATATTCATTTTATTCAGTTATAATAGGTAGTACTACTATACAAATCATTAAGCCAATTTGAGCTTTTTTTTGTTTTTCTGCAAAGCTTACGTGGGTCGGGAGTCCAAAACAGTTGAACAACACGAGACCGCATCATACTAATAGCGTAGTATTTGTTCACAGTACTACTTACGGGTGAAAAATAAGTGTATGAAATCATATAATCTATGTTTTTTTCTCTTAAAGTTTATTGAAAATAATAACCATAGTCCATAATATAGTCAAATACACAAAATAGTGCTCAATAAACACAAAAATCATTGATATATGCAAATGCTTGTATTTTAATTCTCAGCATTATAAAATATGTATTAAGTATTAATGAACAAGTGTTGCATATTTTGTACTTTGTATATAATAGGATCAATCTGAAAAAAATATGCATAGAAATATATTATATCTGCTTTATTAATAAACTATAATATTTTTTATAATTCTATATATATCATATTGTATACTTAAAATCATGCATTAATTCTAAACTATTTTAAATGTTAGAAATCTGACGTTTCAATTGAGAAGGATGAAATTAAAAATAATTGTTCAGAATCTGACGAAGCTGATTCTGAAGGTGAAAAAGGTGATGACGCTGAAGAAGAATATTTGATGGAATTTGTAGAAACAAAAAAATTACAGGTATCTCTGTGTATAAAAAATATCTTGTAAATTATTCATATATTAATCGTATTTAATTTATTAGTCAAAAAAGAAAAGGAAGCACGAAAACGAAGAAGCAAATGTAGAAAAGAATAAGAAGCAAGAAAACGAAGAAGCAAATGTAGAAAAGAATATTCCAGTCAATAAAAATAAAAATAAATCCCCAATAGCTAAAAATGTAAGCATAAATATTTAATATTTTTTGCAGAGTATGTTTGTATAATTTTTATTTTTATGTGTTATTTACAGAATAAAATGACTAAAGCAACTAAAAAGAAGAAATTAATGAAATAGTTAATATAAAGATTCATTTTTTGATAATTACATTTTTATTTTGCTGTATTAAAACATTTTTATCTTCTGCATTGCAAATATGAAATATATGTTTACATTATTTAACTTATTAGTTATTCTTAAATTTTTAGTAAGATCAATTATATTATATCTGTTGAATCATCACAAAAACTCTTGACTCGTAGGCACAAAATAAAACTACCTCTTTCATTATTAATAATTTACCTGAGGGACAGTAACTGATTGTTGTAACCCTGACAAAAATATAGTATTTAACTTTACTACTACTCTTAAAAATCTTGATTTTGAAATAAATACAATAATCATTAGTAAGTACATAGTACATAATAATTTATTATGCGTAAAACTTATATATTTATCCATCTTGGTATATCAGGGGAGGTCTGATATTTAGGGCCACTGCTCTACTTCAAAAGTTGTACTGTGGACTGTTAGGCCTATTTAGTATTTACATAAATTGAAGAATCTTATTTTTCACCTATAGATAACACTAGTCTTTCCTTTTTGTTACTAATAATCCAAATTCAATATAAACAACTATATTATTATGTTAAGTTTATTTTATTTTTATTTCATACTAAATGCTTTAACATTCTCCGTTTTGAGGGATAAATATTATAAGAATCTTTATAGGTCTATGGTAGCTAATAATGTATTAATAGTTGATCTAATTTAAAAATTGTAGCTACAGAAACTAAGATACAAAAAATAAATAATACAAAAAAGGAAGTTTATTAATTTTAAAATACAATAAAATAGGTACATTTAGAATAAACATATTACATATGCAGATGTCGAGTTGCATAAAAAGTTGATACTTTCAGTATTACTGTTCAATACATTAAATAAAAAATTGATTTAATTGAATCATACTAGGTTATTGATTAACAGCAGGGCCGGATCAAACGACAATAGTAAACTAGACACTATCAAATTTTGCCGCCCTTAACAATATAATATTATCAGCGTTTTGGAAATGCTGCCTGATGACTAAAGTGCTGCCCTAGGTGTGGGTCTATGTCGCCTACTCCTTGAGCATGGCCTGATTAACAGATTACATGTACGTCATTGTTTAACACAATTATTTAATATTTATATCTAGTCTTGGGCTTTGAGCTCTATGTTCAAGACCAGAACTGAATTTTGAAGCAGTTCCTTCTATTTTTCATTTAAAATTATCATCAAATGTACCTACATTACGTAGATATCCAGATGAAAATGTTCAAATAGTTAGTATCTGATTTTTTTTTTTGCAAATCATGTATATATAGTAAATATTATGGTTCATAATTCATATACATAGGCATGCGTAGATCTTAATTTCGGGGGTCGAGAGGTCCTGCAATATTTTTGTATCCTCTCTTAACCTCTGAAAGAGCCCTTTTAACAAGATATGTACATATTAATCAGTGGTAAATAATTACTATACTCTGTTCCACGAGAGATCATGCTGGTTCTGAGCATCACCCTGCGTCACCCTGCTGTTGAAACTGGTTAATCTATGACAGGGTTTGGCGTAGGGGAACCAGTTTGGTCGGTGCGTGGCATGATCTCTCGTGGAACAGAGTATAGAACCAAGTTATATATACCTATTCCCTTGGATATAATATTTATTTCTAAGTATTGCAACATATTTTACGTTTTATTTATGTTTTATATTACAAAACATGATTTATTTTTTACCAAATATTTTAGAAAAAATTACATTGTATTCTAGAAGTATAAGTTGAAATACAGGGCCATTATTGTCTGGCCGTCTGGGACTTATACAATTACAAAATATCAAGGGTGCCCACTGCCCAGATACACTCTAAACAAAAAAAAAAAATGACCACTTTCATTCTTCACAATTTACATAAAGACTGTAATTGACTGTAGTCTGTAAGTTGTAACCCTAACAAAAATATTGTTAAAATAAATGTAATGTAAAATAAATACATTAAAATACAGAATTTAACATCTTACCTTCAAAATCTTGATTTTGAAATAAAAACAATAATAATTGGTAAGTACGTTGTTCACAATATAATATCATATGTGTAATACATTTATTCATCTTATTATATATTTAATATTTATATCAGGAGAGGACTGACATTTTTCAACCTTTGAGGTGCTGTAAAAATTGGAATGTCGACCCCTAGGCTGACTCAAAATTTACATAATTAATAATCCACAAAATATTATTTTTCAACTATAAATAACTCTCCTCTCTATCCACATTTTTTGTAACTTATAATTCAAATTCAAAATACAACTATATAACATTATGTTTGGTTTATTTTATCTGTATTTCATACTCAATGTTTTAAAGTTCTCTATTACGGCGGATAAATCATGTACAAAATTTGACAAATTGAGAAAACCACTGGATTCAGAAAATAATTATCTGTTATCCTATTTTTTGATAAGTAAATTATAAAATACATAATTTTTAAGGGATGATTTTATACATATTATTAAATTTATATAGGTATTTATATTATTATTTAATAATATCCTATGACAGTCACATAGGGCCTATATTATATATGAATACGAAACAAGTAATATTAAATTTAAAACTTTAAAATCTACTGTAACAATTTTAGATTCTGAGCGGAGCGATGAATGTATTGGTTTTACAATGATGTGTGTTTTAGATTCTGAGCGGAGCGATGAATGTATTGGTTTTACAATGATGTATGTTTTTATTTATATTTTTAAATTTTTGTGTCTGTCATCACGTTTTAGGACAGTAAAAGTGCTTGGATTTTCTTCATCAGTAGCTTTTCTGATAGGAAAGTGAATCTAGTTGGTACTTTGGGGGGTCAAAAGTATAAATTTTCCAGTAGTTTTCACAAGCGCCGGGAAAAACAACATAAAAATTAAGGAAAAACGGGAATTTTTACGCAAAATTGGTTTTCCAAAAAATCGATTTTGGTTATTGGTGTAACTCTAAAACAAATGAACGTATATATATGAAATTTTCACTGGTTGTTAATATTTGCATTTTCTATACACGATAACATTTTCAAAATATTTTGATTTATTTTGAACTGTTTAGGGACATTTTCATTTTCCATTTTTTTTTAGTTTTTTTTCTAAAAATATCAATAAAATTTTATTTGTTGGTTGCGAAAGCTTGAAAATTTAATAGAAGGCTCCTAATATGTTGTTTCAAAGGCAGATGAAAAATATTAAAAATCCTTAGTCACAATTTTTTTTTATAAGCATTTAAAGTTCAAAAATTGACAAAATATGGAAAAATCATGAAAATTAGCAAATTATTTTGAGTTAAGAATTCGTAAAAATTTTTCTTTTTAAATCTAAGATTTGAAAATGAAACACATGATTCCTTATAAGATTATCTACCTTTATCAATAAAAAAATCTCTACCGGACAGTCAAATTAAATTTTTATGAGCGTTTGAAATTCAAATTTTTACAACATTGGATTTTCACTCGATTTCTCATGTAGCGATTTCCTTATTTTGTTGTAATTCAAAAACGAATAACTGTAGATACATGAAAATTTCACTGAATGTTTATATTAGCATTTCCTATACACCATACAATTTTGAAAATATTTTGACTCTTTTTGAGCTGTTTACGGACATTTTCAGTTTTCAATTTTTTTAGTTTTTTTTTTTATAATTGTCAATAAAATTTTATTTGGTGGGCCAAAAAGTCTGAAAATTTAATACAAGCTTTCTTATATATTGTTACAATATCAGTTGAAAAATTTTAAAAATACACAGGCACGATTTTTTTTTATAAGCATTTAAAGTTGGAATTTTGACAAAATTTATCAAAATCTCGAAAATTATCAATCGTTGGAATTAAAAAATTATAAAATGTTCAGTTTTTATAACTAAGAGTTGAAAATTTAAAACAAAGGTTCTCTTAAATAATTCATACTGTAACCAAAAAATCTAAAAAATATATAAACACACTTATTTTTTACAGACATTTTAATTTCAAATTTAGACAAAATTTCATATTTAAACCAAGAATTACGATTTTAGTTATTTTGTTGTGATTGTATAATATTATTCGTGGGTACTTGAAATTTCTAAAGTAATCTACTATATATATCTATGATAGTATCAGGGTTTGTTGTTGGTGTATAACGCGTTATAACTTATAAGTACCTAATGGATATTGTGATATGATTAATTTGGAATTCATTATAGGTCAATTTTTTTTAATACCATAGATATGTATATAATATGTCTTATACCTAGAAGGACATACCGTCTCCGCTCAGAATCGTTTTTCTTATACAATGATATTATATCATTGAATTCAAATTTAATACCATCCATTATACAATGACCCACTTGTAACCTACTGTACAGCAGAGCGACACCCACTTGCCCACCTTTTTTTTTTATATTTTTATATTTTTATATTTTTATATTTTTTTTTGTGTCTGTCATCACGTTTTGGGACAGTAAAAGTGCTTCGATTTTCTTCAATAGTACCTTTTCTGATAGGAAAGTGAATCTAGTTGGTACTTTGTTGGGTCAAAAGTAAACATTTTCCAGTAGTTTTCACAAGCGCCGGGAAAAACAACATAAAAATTAAGGAAAAACGGGAATTTTTACGCAAAATTGGTTTTCCAAAAAATCGATTTTGGTTTTTGGTGTAACTCTGAAACAAATGAACGTATATACATGAAATTTTCACTGGTTGTTTATATTTGCATTTTCTATACACGATAACATTTTCAAAATATTTTGATTTATTTTGAACTGTTTAGGGACATTTTCATTTTCCATTTTTTTTTAGTTTTTTTTCTAAATATATCAATAAAATTTTATTTGTTTGTTGCGAAAGCTTGAAAATTTAATAGAAGGCTCCTAATATGTTGTTTCAAAGGCAGATTTAAAATGTCTGTAAAAAAAAACTATGTTCATATATTTTTTAGATTTTTTCGTTACAGTATGAACTATTTATGGGAACCTTTGTTTTAAATTTGCAATCCTTAGCTATAAA